CTTAGAACAGTGCCTGGCACTTAGTACGCATGCACACTTATTTAAGCAATGTTCTTTTTATTTTTCTCTTCAGAGAGCGGCTTGTCCATTTAATTTGCCTACTTTTCTTTTAAATTGCTGGGGTTTTTTTCCTAAGAGCTATTGTTAGTAAGAAAATTAACCATTTGTCATGTGTTGAAAATATATTTTTCCAGCTTCTCTATTTGTTGGTGTGTTTTACCATTGAGAAAGTCCACATTTTTATGAAGTCAAATTATAACTTTTTTCTTCAAGCTTCTTCAGGCATAGTTTTTTTCCCCACTGCAAAATAAAATGGAGATTCAGATAGGTTTTCTTGTTCTTCCAATGTGGCCCTAAAGGTTTTTTGTTTTGTCTTGTTTTTAACTGATATTTCTATATTGGTCTCTGTTGATTGGGGGGAAAATGCATTGTATAGGATAAAGAGCACACAGGTACGGAATTGCCAAGTTAGAGAGCTCAAATTTGTGCCTAAACCCTGATGTGCTTTCATTTAGATTTTTTTACTCTTTTCCCAAATACATAAAAATACATTTGTTAAAAAAAAATCACAAAAGTTATTCATGTACATAAAAAGTTCAAGTTATCAAGATTTAGAATAAAAAGCATAAATCCTCCCTTACTTTGTCTCTCTGCTCTTGTAATTCCACTCTCTAGGAGAATTCTCTGACCCTTTAGTGTATAGTCTACAGGAGCTTGTCCTATGTATTCACAAATACGTATACACATATCAAGAATCCTTTATTTTTCCGCTTGATATAAACGAATCACACAGTATATATTTTTTGAACGTAGAACTTCTAAAGCCCTTATACTGAAGCTGTCATCACACTTGTGTATGTAAATATGATAGTTTTGCAGTAGCTGCCTTCATTAGTAGGCTATACCATAATTTAATCAGTCACTCTACTACTGGGCACTGTTTTCCTGCTCTTAAAGATTACAAGAAATGCCGCTGTGACCATCCTTATATATATTTTCATGTTTATGTGAGATTGTTTCTCTAGGATGAAGCCTTAAAACATGGAATTGCTGGTTTGGAAGATAAATGCATTCATAGCAGGCTGAAATTTGGGAAACATACAGAAGCCTTTGTACCATTCACAGATCATTGTAATGACTTCACCTTGCACTCTGCTTTAGTGCAAAGCTTTAGTGCAAAGCTGTGGAAAACAGTTTTTTTTTTTAAATTTCTGACCATGAAAATATAAAGGAGGGAATTTGCCTTGCAATTCCACTTTTAGGGATCATCCTATAAAACACTCCCATGAGTGAAATAATCTAAGTTCAGCTCTGTAAACCAGCTAACATGAGAAACAAAGGTATTAGCAGTCATGGGACTCGAGTAGAACTTATGAGAACATTTCCACAGACAAATGGGGAGAGTGGGACTTCTCTCTTCTCTTCTGGGAGGGGGTCCATCATCTGTAAAAGTCATCCAGGCTTCTAACACTTCTCAAGACTAATAAGAGCTCTGAGCAAGTTGCTCCAAGATGCAGCAGTTTGCACACTGCCTGCCTACAACTCTATGAGAAGCCCTACCATTCGGGGCTCTGAGCAGGGAGCAGCTCAGCAACCAGAAAGGCTGCTCTTTGATTGATCAGAGTAACTAGGAATCAGCTAAGACATCTCATGTCTTTTCAGTCCATGTCTTCTTTGCTGCTTGCTTGGCTTGAGGGCAAACTGTCTTCTAAGGAGGAAAGTGGAGGAACTTTAATTAAGGTTTTGAAATTCAAATCTACAACCTTGTAAATTTGAGAGCAATCACCAAATTGCCCTCTAAACTGGAGGAGCCACTTAACACTTCCCTTGAATGGTTTCCCTGACACCTTTGACAAAATTTGTTAATTTCATTAATCTTTTTAGTTTTTGCAAACTGATTTCTCATTTTTGTGGACATGCTCTTCACCAGTGTTCTTAAAAAGAGATACTAAAATATTTGCACGTTTGAGGACTACATGTATTTCTTTTGTGAATTGCCTGTTTATGGCCTGTTTTTCTTCTTACTATCTATAGGAATTCTTTATATATTTTGGATATTAACCCTTTTAAATAATACACTGCAATCATTTTGTCAACTGATTGTCTTTACGGCTTCCACCGCGCAAAGGTTTTACATGTTCATGTGCTGAGAACATGCTAAAGTTCCACTCTCCCACCTACTCTCACCCTCCACCTTTGTGGAAGGAGAGTAAATGTAATCCCTAAGACTGGGCTACTAAGACCTCTGAAACCTTGGCGGGACTAGTAGAATAAGGAAACACTATTGTTTATGAAGTTACAAATAATAAAACACAATAAGTAATAAATCTTTCTGATAGACTTGAATTTCTTTTTCATGTACTCACAAAAAGGGGGAAGTCGAGACAATGGTTATTTACATATGCAAATATGTAGCTGAGACCCTGCTCTGAAATGGAGTTGGAGAGGTTACTGCTCTTGAAAAAACAAACTGCCTTTTGCTAAAGTAATAGTTGTTCCACACTGCAGGCAGTCAGAGCTCTAAGTTAGGATTTAGACTGTTTATTCAGTGTGGCTATTCTTTTTGAGATGCATATGTTCTTTAAATAATTGCTTACAGGAGATAAAAACCCCAAGACAGCTAGACAACATCAGGGCTGGCTGGATCTTCACCTGGAGTTGGAGAAGGGGCTATGTATAAAGGAATAGCTTGGTCAAGCTCAGTCTTGAGCCAGATATTGTTTGAAACTGGACAACCAACCCAAGCCTTGAGAAATGTTAAGGAACTTCTTTTTATCATGAACTCATAAGGGGCTATTGTAAGAAAGTGACCTCATCACTTTATGGGTATCTCCAGTCCTGGGCTACACCTGCTATGATCTGATGTGACTGTCCTGCTGAGAGCATACCCCAATGCTCTATGTGAAGTAGACTGTCCTATATCAATCACACCAAGAAAGGCTGTTCTTGGAACAGGCAATAAGATTTTAGAAAGCAGGCTCTACTAGGGGTGAGGAAGAAATACCACTTCCTTTAATTTTAGATAGTGAATCTCTAGGTGCTGAATGGAAACCCAGGGTAGTGTAGGGAGCCTAGCATTATTTGTTTTGGTGCACACAGACCACATTCCATGAAACAATGTCGTTTTAATGCAGAGACTGCACTATCTATAATAATAATAACTTTTTAAAAAGCTAGCAAATAGAGCCAGCCCTGTATGTACACTGCCTAAATATTATGATTTTAGGGGCCTTTAAAACCCCCTGAATGTTTCAAGAGCTCTCTCCTATTTTCTAGCCCTACCTCTCCCACCTTATTAGAATATATCTATACAAAGGCTGAGTTAAATATATTTACATTGTGAAAGCATTTTCCCCATAAATTACCAAAAAATATTATCCCAGAGGGCTGAAAACCTGTAATCCCAACAGCCTGCTTTATTCTTTATCACCTTTCATAGGAGTTCAAAACTATTACATACTTGCAGTCATATGCCTATATAATAATGTATTCTGAATTAAAAAAATTATTACACAGGCCAAAAGCCCCCATCCCAGATAGTTACATGGTGGCCTGATGTACTAGAAAGACAACTGATTTGGGTAGCAGGCACTTGCATTTGAATCACAGCTCCAATATATGCAGTACAGCCTTGAGTTAAACTTCTGACTCTCTATTTCCGGGATGAGATGACTGGGGCTTGCAGGATGGATGGGAAGAACAGATATGATGCACCGAGGGCAGCTGACTCATGGTGGGCAGTGACTGGTAGTTACTATTCTTACGTCCTGAATTGATGGTTTTTGTGACAGGCACTGTGCCAAGAATTCTTTATGTAATCATCTATTCTAATCTTCCTAACAACCCCTGAAGTTGAATTATCTCCCTCCACAGGTGAGAAAAAGGAGGTACACTAGCACAAGATCACACAACAGGCCAGTGCAGGAGGTGGAATTTGAGCCAGGTCAGGGGCAACAGTGTTTCTTGGCCAGTACCAACTACGGAGAAGCACAAAGGTCACAGAAGCCCAGCAGATGGCCTCTCCCCTTACTTAGCACATGACTCTGCAGGTCCAAAAAAATCCCAGGCCAGAGGGGCTGAGGTATAACTCTGGTTTAACTCTGAAAATCCTGAACAAGAGAAGGATAATAAGAAACTCAGGAGAAACTAAAAGAGTAAAGTGACCTCAAGGAAAACTGGCCCAGAGAGCCAAGCTCCCTGAATACCTTTCAGTACTCTGATGTCTCAGAAGCCATCTTTAAAATCACAAAAACTGTGTGGGTTACTTCATAGGCAATTTGTAGAAAAGGAAGGGGGTAGGAATTACCAGAACCCCCTCTGATTTTGGACTAGTAAAACTGGGACAATAACAAGTGCTGCATTCTACTGCTGTTGTGAAAATCAACACAAATACCAGACGGCCAATCACAAATGAAGGACTTTGTTTCAGTACGTTAAGTACATTGCTTTCTTTGAATTACACCCAAGTCTGTGGCTCTTCTCTCTGGTCATTTGATGGCATGTGATTATGACGCTCGGTGCCCAAAGGATGGAGCTATTAATTGAGTATTGCTAGACAATTAATTATTTTACAAACATTGACATTTAAAATGTATGCAAAGCCATCCAAGTATAAGGACATTATTAATATATGCTTTTCTCAAGGGAGAGCTACTTTAACAAAAGAAACAAAAATGCATGTCTCATTCTTTGTTCTTCTCCCTAAAGTAACATCTCCTCCAAAAGATAAAAAGCACCAACACATTTGTTCTTGAAGGACAGAGTCCAGGAATTCTGGAGCTGTCTGAACACCCCTCCCTTTCTGCCAGGGACCTACTGCCTGCCGCGCCTTGTGTCACAGAAATCCCCGGTGTGCCAAGCAAACGTGTTTACTTCTGCCGCCTGCCAGCCTGGCGGGGAAGGGGAGTACAGGCCGCCCCTCACTTTCGCCCCTGCAGCTTTCCAAACAAACCAGGGCGGGATGGGAGTGTCTTCTTGGCCGTGGAACTTGATCCTCCTACCTTGTCCTGAAGCCACCCGCCGCTTCCCCGGCCCTCCCTTCGCGGTGATTTTCCTGTCCGGGACGCCCGGTAAGGGCGCGCGGCTCCTGTCCGCCCAGCCCGAAAGGTAGGGGCTCGCCTGCGCTCCTGCCTCGCCGCCCCGGGGACGGAAGCCCCAGTCTCCCGCCGCATTGCACCTTCCTCGGCGACCTTGGGGGCGGCCGCGGCCCCCCGCGCATCTGGCACCCGCCACCGAGCAGGAGGAGCTTCCCGCGGCTGGGGAGGCGCTCGGCGCAGTCGCCGGGGATCCGGGCGCGGGCGTGGCGGGCAGCGCACGGGCCCGCGGGCGCCTGGACTCGGGGCGGCGCTGCGCCCTCCCCTGCTCGCCCTCCAGGTCCAGGGACACGGATTCGTGCCCGCGCCGCCCCCGACCCGCGCCACCTTCCTCCGGTTTCCGCCGGCCGCGGGCTTCGGCGGCTCGATGCTGCCGGCGCCGCGGAGAGGCTGCAGCCGCCTGCAGAGAGCGGCGGAGCCCGGCGCGCCTCGGCGGTCCCCGCGCCCGGGCCTCGGCGGGTAACTCCCTGGCCGGCCCCTCACTGCGGGGTGAGGGAGGGTGGCGGTGCGGGGAGCCTCGGAGGCCGAGGGTCGCGGGTGGCGTGGGCGCGTCCGGTAACCGCCCCTCCGCGCACCTTCCAACCCGGCGGCGTCGCGGCGCCGCGAGCAGTGGAGCGACGGGGCGCTCGACCCCTGCGCCCTTCGGGGAGGGCGGAGGGGCGCCCGGGGGCCGGAGGGCCGCGCCCCGGGACCCGCTATTTAACGGCAGGGAGCTCGGGCGCTCGAGAGGCCGACAGGGGCGACGGGCTCCTCGCTCACTATCCTTTTCTTATAAAAGGGTCTGGAAAGTTCTCCTCTTTTACCTTAGAAGAATTTCCGAGATACCCTTCTACCCGCCACACAAGCAGCAGCCTAACAAAACAGGCGCAGATGTAGTTTGGGGGAAAGGGCGGTGGTAAGAAAATTGCAGTGTTTCGGCTGCCGTTAGTTTTTCAAGATAAGGAGGAAGAAACTAGTCGTTTTGAGGCCGCCTGTTCTAGAGCTCCCAGGCGGTCTCAGCCCCCTTTCTTCTGTGTTGTTATTTTGGCTTAAAAGAGTATCTATAAAAAGCGATGAACAGAAACTAAGAACAAATCCTAAGTACCTTCTTTTAGGATCTTCGGTAGGATGTTGGAGGGTGGGGGAGTGCTTGCTGTTCAAAGGCGATATTTAAAAACAGTGTGCGGGAGGGGATGAGAAAAACATCATGAGTGCCAGAATATCAGAAACCACACAAGCTTCAGATTCTAAACTCAAAAAAGGCACTTGTTCTTTAAGAGGAACGCCGCCCGGTAGCACTTTGATTAGGTCGTCGGTGAGGGAAACTGCAGGTCGCCGGATGCTCCGTGCTCTCTGTGCCCTTTTGCCCCGTGTGCACACCCATCTTCAGTCTCTGATGGCCGCCTTTACCGCGCTAGCCTGGATATTTGACTTTCTGTCTTCAGACTTTTTCTCCCAGCTGAGGACCATGAAACTAACTTTTTATTTACCTGGAGATGTTAATTATTTGGGAAGATCTGGTCAGACTGCCAGGTTTTCTGTTTGAAAGCATGCTGATTTACTACTTGTAAATTAATTTGTGTTGCTTCCTTTTCCTGTCACCTAAGACTGCTTTTCATACCAAGATCTGCAAAAGAGACACTAGTCTTTTATCTAGTTTGTTGTCTCTGAATAAGGCTGATTGCATCAGAGACACTTCATAGATAATGGCAACTTTGGTTTATAAGGAGAGAACATTTCTAGAAACTGTATTATCCTGACCTGGCTTCATAAGCTGTCCTTAATTGTTCAAGTGGAGGGGGAGAGGAGGTCTTCATTCACTGAGGGATGGGCTTACCTTGAGCAAAACGTTTACCATAGTCCCTGGATATCATAGTCCCAGATTGTACTATGTCTCTTTGTAATGGTGCAATAGAATGAGACCACTCTTTTACCTATGTTTCAAAAGATTTGTTGGAAATACTCAGCTTGTTATGTCCCAAATCAACAAAAACCTTTGAGGTTCAGAAAGGAATAGACAGTTTGGCAGAAGAATGCTAGTAAGAGGCATACCATTAAAAAACATCAGTCTATTGTGAAAATTACAATTCTCGAGTTTTCTCATTCCAGTACTTAGTGGCAGCCCTTTCTTCTGTTAGAGGTTGTTTCTATATTCCACATCACGTGGAATATTTATGGGAAAGAATTGAAATAATGCCATGTTTCCCATAGTTCTCTGATAAGCATCATCTGCTAACCATGCAGATTAACACTTGGCTTCTGTGGAAATGACAGTTCCTTCCAGGATTGGAGACCAGAGATCCGTTTCACCTATGCTCTAGGCTGTGCTTATCAAGGAGGTGAAAGCATGTCATTCATGTGGCACACTGTGATCCCTGAGGTGTTAGCATATGCTGTTTTATTAAATCTTACCAACAACCCCATGAGACAGGAATGTTTAGGCTCATTTTATAGTTTAAAAATCCAAGCCTGCCCTTAGTCATTTAGAATGTATCACGTGGAGGTCTGGCTTCTTCTCCTCTGCCTCACTGCATCCCAGGAAGTCTCCATAGCATTCATTCCTCACAGATTTTTCATTTGTGCGTATCTTTCTCCTTCTCTTTGCATATGTTTAAGTTATGTATCCTCTGATATGAATATACTTTCTTAAGTACCCCTCAGGCTGGGCTTTTTGAACAGATGGGCATTTTGTTTACCTTTCTTCTGCCTGATAGCTTTAGACTTCTACCCATTTGATATCTTCCATTTTCACATCTTTAACGTGCTGCTTAGGTGTGCTGTGTCTGGCCATGCTTGGGAGGTTATGATATCACCAGTGGGTTGTGTTCCAAAAGTTCTGTTTATTTTGAATATATTTTCACTTCTCATCCTTCTTGCCTGGAAAAAGTCCTTCCAGGCTATGTTCCCACCCTCAGAGTTGAAATTAACTTCTCTCTTCTGTTTATCCTAAGTACAGTGGGTAACAACAGCACACATCCCAATTTCCAATTGAACCCTCATGGGTTAAAAATAAAAATGTATTTGATTTAGAGCAGGCTTGTGTATGGAATACAATGTGTACATTGGACATTACGGTGTTTCTATAGGAAGCTATTCACTGTGCCTTGTCAGAGTGTCAGAAGCACAGTCGCCTCACCATGGCGGTATGGCAGGGCTTCTTTGCTCTCATGGTGACTCCCCAGCACTGACTCAGCAGTGGGGTCTTGGACTTGGTGAGGAACTTTGCTGCCATACAGTCTAGCTAAGATGGATGAGATTCTGGCAGTGAACTTATGAGGATAAAGAAGGTAAGGACCAGCAGGACCTAAGTCTCTTCTCCAGGTCTGTATTTAATTATCTTGGAAGCTTTTCGTTATCCTGGGGAGAACGGCCAGCTTACCATTTATTGCCAAAATTTTGCATCTGACCAGGGGTTTTCTTCTTCCTGGACTATTGGGAAAGAGGGGAAGGAAAGCATCCAACCTTTAGATTTTCTTATAAACTCTGAAAAGCTTAGTGAAATTGATCTTTTCTTCCCTACTCTGTTTTTTCCCCCTTATATCTAGGAGGCTGTGTGCAAATGGCATCGTTTTGTTTATAGCATGGAATGCTGTTCTTTGAAGGATTCTTTCAGCATTGATTTATCTGGTTGGAAATGGAAAGATCTGTAGAAGATGAGGAGAGTAAGGCCTGTGGATGAGGAAATGGCAAGGAACCTGAACACTACTTCAAGAGATACAGAGTTAATTTTGCCTACCATGGGTTGTGGAAGCAGGGCTGGAGTTGGTATGGCTGCGCGTAATGATCACTGTGCTGGGAGGTGGGGCAAAAAGGGCACAGAGTGATGTGGTAGTGGGTCTTGGGTTACTTTCGGCAAGGTCAGCCATAAAGTGGGACTTGAGAGTCAACCAATAATTACTGAGTATCCACCATGTAACAGGAGATTTTCTAGGTGCTGGGGGAGGGGGGAGGGTATGCAGCCGTTGAACAAAACAGACAGAGCTCCTGCTTTTTATAGAGATTTTGTGGGAAATGGAGCCAATAAACAAGATACAAATAAGTGCAAAAACATCTTTCAGATAGAATGAGTATTACAAAGACAATACAGCTCTGGTGTGTGCTAGAGAGGGAATGGAGAAAGCTACTTCGGAGCAATCAGAGAGCTTCTCTGAGGAGCTGGTACTTGAACTGAGGTGTCAATGATGAGAAGGAGCCAGTCAAGTGAAAAGTAGAGAACATTCTAGGGGGACGTAAAAGCAACTGCGAATACCCTGAGGCCTCAGTGGATTTGCTGTGTTTGGAGAACTTGTAGATGAAGAGGAGAGCAAAAGGGGAAGGTAGGAAGGCATAAAGTCAGTGAGGTAGGTGGGAGACCGTTTATGTCTTCAAAAGGAGTTTGAGCTGTGTTTTCATTAGAATGGTATGCTCCTGGAGATTTTAAATTAGAGAATAAATCAGTTTTTGCCAAGGTGGCAATAGGCTTTCCTAATTGTCACACACACACACACACACACACACACTTCCACTCTCAGTTGGCTTTTCTTCTGCCCATTAATTGGCCATCATTGGTTTTCTCTTCCTTGTCCTAGGTCAGAGCACAGTCATATCCCACTGAGAAGCAGGGCTCAGAGCACTGTGGACAGTGTTCCTCTTATCCTGTGAAGTAAATCCATGTACTCAGTTTCACCTTCAAGCATAAAACTCTGTCACTAGCTCTAATTTCGCAACCTCTCTCCACGCTGAATATCTAGTCTCTAAGAAGTATCTGAGTTGTCTGGTGATATCTGAAATGAGATACTAAAAATTAAGTCAGTAATCTAGTCAAATCAATCATTATTGATATTGTTTGCAAGACAATGATTTTCACAGGAGGCAGTAACCTAAATAATCCAAAGGCCTTGTCTTCTCCTGAGTTCCCACTGCCTCTCCCCCAGGCTGCATCTAAGCAGTGTGTTACGGGAGGCTCCTTCTCTTTTTAGAGTAAGTGTCAGTGGAAATGTGCAGGATTCTTGTAATATTTGCAATGGGAATACACAATGTCTGAGAGACTTCATTCCTGTTGGTCTATGTGGATAATCGTGGCAATCTTAGAGTAGCATTTACAGCATGGGCGTTGATGTCCAAGTTGGTATCTCCTCCTAGCAGCACTTGTTTATCAGAAATGAACAGAAGTCCCAGCATTTTATCAGTTATCCTTTAATTCTAGGATGGCTTATCATTGCCAGTATATTACTCTCCGAGGAAGCTCTTATTCTTTAGAAAATTTCATTTGAGATTCTTTAGCCAGATGCCCTGACCTTAATTAACTTACATACTTAACATCACAAATACACATAACTCATTTTCAGCTTTTTGTGTCTCTTTCTTTCTAATTAATACAGTGGTGAAAATCTGGAACACATTTCTGTTTGAGAGGCCAGTGATTATGCCTTGTCTTGTTTACCCATGACCTCTGCTCTTCATACAGTGTCCAGAACAGGATAAAGCAAATATTTGCCAAATGACTCAATCAGTATCCGTGGAATAACTCACGATGTTAATATATTCATTCAGTTGTAACATCTTTATAACTATTACAGTTCATTTTTATAACTATTAGTATTACCCAATTTGTCATCTTAAAAACTTTACCCATTGGAGCAAACAGGTGAAAGGTAAATTCATCCCTGTGGATTTGTATACATTAATTCAAACCCTCTAGTTTTGAAAAGTTTTTTCTTTTTGAAATATTAGAGTGTATATAGGCTGACAATTAAGATCTCAGTATGTAAATATCCTCAGATGTATATTCTTTGATTTGTTTCCATGTACAGTACACTTTTAGTAGAGTTTCATAAATCTTAATTTATGATAATTTGAATTGGGTCAGTCAGATTTGTGGTTACATTACTGAGGAAATAAGTATGTGTGCCCAGAACATGAATGACAAAATCATTTCCCTTTTCAAAGTACACCTACAATTTCATGTGTTTTAGCAGGCAGAGCTTGGCATTGCTCAAGTTCCAGTGCTTATTATGGTAGATCTTAGATGTCTATTAGACTAGCGTGAGACACAAACAAATGCCTTGGGCGATAAAAAGCCCCCTTCATCAAGATGGCAGAGCTGGGAGGATTTGGGGAGAAGCCCTGGCAGCAGAGCTGAGGGAGAGGCAGAGGTTCAAGAGGGGGCCCATCTGAGGGCTCTTGCTGAGACTCACAATGACAAAGTTTCTTACAAAGAATGATGTCTTGAGAGAGAACATCCTGTTAATAAGATTCTGTACTCATATTTAAAAAAGTCTAAATATTTAAGGTTCTGCCTTTTACATTGTTTTTATTTTTTCTTGTCCCTCAAAAACATGATACTATATAAACACAGCCTTCTTTCATTTGAGCTAATTTTATGGAGTTTCCTACACCTGCCCCCATCAGATTTTAGTCCTCGGAGAGGTTTTCAGCCCATTGTTTCTGACAAGTTGGCGTAGTTTTCTTCTTAGGAAATATTTTATTGCAAATATTTAGGCTGCCACCATGGAAGATACTTTTTTATCAAAACATAAAATAAGTAAAATATATAATGAAGGACATAAAATTAAACACTTATTAAATCTTGTGCAACCCTTCAGTATGTAAGAGTACTTGATATTAAGGGGTAGAAGAGGCAGAGATTAGGGAATGTGTACATTTTCTGTGTTTAGCATAGAGCCAAAGAATAAAAAGAGATCATGGACTTTTAAAATAATTCCCTGACTCCTTCTTAAGGATAATTTTAAAGTTGTAGAGCTGGTTATCCAGTTGCATTTAGACAAGAGCAATGACATGCTAATCCAGGCATTCAGGTAGGTTACAAATGAATTTTCAACTGCTTTTCAGCAATAGAAAATAATTTAATTTATAGTTTTATTTAACTGATTTGAAAGTTAAAGGAGCTTTCTGTTATAAATAATGAAAAAGATCTTTGTGGGATAAAGGACACTGCTGTCACTATACTTTTGGTATTTGGAGCTAGTATTTCAGGAAAACATCAAAGTAAATTAGTTAATTACCCTTGTTTGGTCCCAGCTATGCCATAAGTAAATTAGAAATAATTTGATATTTTGATTAGCAGGATATTAGGAGATATATGTGCTTTCTGATCACAAAGTACCAACAAGTGTTTTTTCAGGCACTGAATTGTTTGGAGGACAAGGACAAATCTGCCCATCGATTGCAAAAAAAAACAACAAAGCAAACTCTTTTTGTTCAGATTTGGTGAGTAGAGCTCTTCTGCTTTAACCATAATGTAATATAATCATATTCTTATAAAATTCTGCTACCCAAGCTCTCTACCTGTGACCACCAATATTCCCATCCGTGCACCTTTTATAATATTCTTCAAGCATGGTTTTCATTATGGAAATGTTTTTCTGCTCAAAAACCCAGAGAATTTCTCCCACTGGCCTTTGAAGTTTCGTGCTATCTCATATTGCTAACTTTCTTTTCATCCTCCCTTTGCAACGGTAGTCGCTGTAAGTCTCCTGGTGCTTTAACCTGGGGCATTCTTTTGACACTCAGTGCCTTGCTCCTTCGCTCCTCACTCCCCTCTCCAAGCTGGGTGGTAACCTACCTCCATGGCCTGGTGTCATGGCTTACAGCTGCATGACCCACAAGTTGCCTAACTTCTCTGAGCATCACTTTCCCTGTCTATATAAACTTGTAATAATGTTCATAGCACAGTGATTATGGTCATTAAAAAGAAAGCACATAGAAATAGTTCAGCATAGTTTCTGCCAAATAACAAACATTTAATCAAAGTGACTTGCCATTATTGTCACTATAGCTATTATTATAACTCTGTTCTTCCTCAAATAGTTAAAAATTAGCATTCTCCAGGAAGTCATTCTGGTTGACCTCATCTAGCTCTAATATTTTTCTTAAGTCCTTTTCCTCTTGGCATCTGACTTCACTTGGAATCTATTAATCTACTCATGTTATTTAATTTTCTTAATTATTCTTCAGTGAAAAGCAGCAAATATTTGAGGCTCTAGCATGTGCCAGAAACACTGTTTTATGGAAGGGAGAGCAAAGGTTTGGAGCTGGGTGAGGAGAACCTTCCAGGAGCAGGAATAGTATGATCAAAGGCTCTGAGGGATGAAATAGGGTGAAGAATGATTGAGCACTGTACAGAGCTGGGTGCTCTTATTGCGTAATGTTCAAAGTCAAGCATTTTAGGTGATGCAGGTGAGAATGTAGGAGTGAGTACAGTCAGATTCAGAAACCTATGGCTTCTGTGTTTACATCTCCCTACAAGGTCATGCCCTTGGGGACATAGGTCTACACAGACAATTTATGCCGGCAAATTCTACACATTGTTTCTAAAGTTGGACTTGGGTCTTACATGTGGCATGGAACACATCTCTTCTTCCCTTTGCTATTTTCATGAGAAAATAATGAAACAGTTATGGTAATATATAATTGATGTTAGAGCTTTCATTTTTAATAACCCAAGTGTTTAAAACATAGGAATATTAAATTTCATTTAAGACTTCTGTTTCTGTGTGAGATCTGAGTGTAGAGATGGGCTTCAAGAGGACAGAGACATCCAAGGGGAATAGTCAAGAGGCTCATTACAAATTCAAAGCCTTGAAACTTTCAGTAGCTTCCTGCAATACATTTTATACAATAGAAAGCCCAGTGCTTCTATGCATAGCTTCATTTTCTGTAATTATGTGCTTGATAATTTACATGTAGAATTTTGATCAAGATGTGAGTTTTATTTCTTTGCACTGCAGTTGAATTTTGGTTTCCTTCCCCTCTCTACTTCCAACTCTTAGAAATCATTTAGTTTGTAATCTATCTCTTATTCAGAATTTATGCGACATTTGATGTTAAGTGTCTGGATTATATTTAATTCTAGAAACTCTTGTACTTTTTTTACTCCAAAAATATGTTTTCTACTAAATCTGAGTGTTGTCCAGTATATTTTAACTCTGTCTTTTGGTGTTGATTTCTCTTGCTTGGAAATTAAGCAATAAGACTCAAAATACCCTAAACCACAAGAGCTTAAAATTCCAGAAGAATTAGATATGAAAGAAAAAGCACTGAAATGTATTTGAACTGTAATTAGCCTGGAAACGGAATGTTGTGGGAGAGGTCTATAAGGAGGCTAGGAAAACAGGGAAAAGCAAAAAAGTGGCTCAGCACATTTCTAGCACTGCTGAGGGAGAATGTACCCTTATTATGGGCCTGTGATTGTCAAACAACTTTTTAATTATCACCCATGGATTTGCCTATAGACACAGCCCATCTGCCAGTTAGGTATATACATATACATATGTGTATATACATTCTTGGCACTTATATTTTTCTCACTGTAAATGAATTACTTTGGTATTTCCAGTTACACACCAGCTTCTGCCTGAGATGTTCAGTTAGGTAAACTGAATGCTCAAGTGTGTGAACCAGCGGGGCTGAGTGGCTGACTCTTGAATTGTGCCTCCTCCCAGATGATACCCATCTCTGAGAATCTACCTAGACTGCCAAGACCTCTATTTCTTGGACAGCTCCATCTTCTCTAAAGTTTTTAAAGTAAGGTTTTTGGAAATATATCAGACATAAAGAGGAGTACACAAACCATATCATTATAGTTCTATACATTTCTTCCCAGTGAACACACCCACGTAACCTGCCTGCAGACGAAGAATAGTTACTTGCCCTCCAGGAGCACACCGTGTGCTCCCACCCCATCTCTGCTCACTCCTTAAGTGTAACTGATACTCTGGCTTCCCCCCATAAGGTAGTTCTTTAAAAATTTTTAAATTTCTGTTTCTTTTTAACTTGAATTAACACCTAGGTATTCTGAATGGCTCTAGAGCATCAGCATCCTTCTGGCTGAGGGTGAGGACTCGGCACGCCAAGAAGGGTGTTAGGTTGCATTGTTAAAGGCATGTTGAAATCTCATGTCTCAGTACCTCAGAATGTGACCTCATTTGGAAACAGGGATTTTGCACCTGGAACTAGGTAAGATGAGGTCATCCTGGAGTAGGGCGGGCCCTTAGTCCAATACATATGACTGGTGTCCTTAAAAAAAGCATCTGTGTGAGGACAGAGACACAGGGAGGACACTGGGTGAAGACAGTGGATTGGAGTGATGCGTCTACAAGCCAGGGAAGGCCAAGGAGTGCCAGCAAACCATGAGGAGCTAGAAAGAGGCAAGGAAGGATTCTCCCCTACAGGTTCCAGAGAGGGCATGGCCCTGCCAACAACCTGACTTTAGACTTCTAGCCTCCAGAACCGTGAGACAGTATACTTCTGTTGCTGGAAGCCACCTTACCTGTGGTACTTCATTCTTGCGGCCTTAGGAGATCAGTGCAGAGGATCTGCGGTGGACCTGGTGCCTGACACCTGCTCTCTGACTCCCCCAGGGCACACCTGGCCTTGGTCCTGGAATCATTCTGGCTCTCCCCTGTCCTGTCTAGCCTGGCTCACAGAGTGCCCTATCTTGCCACTGGTTGCTCCATATCTGTGATGTGCCCCGTAGGAAGACAAAGGTTTCATTACTATTATATGGCTTTTTCCCTATTTCTTTACGCTTCTCCTTACTAACGTTTTCAGATAGAGCCAGCATGGCTTCCTGATATGGCCTGGACCAAGTCTTGCACCTCAGTGCCCTGTGCTTCCCATCGTTGCCTGTTGGGTCTCTGCTGAGGAATCCTTACTCATCCTCCCAGACCCAGACTGGGGCTACATCCTTTATCCAGTTTTCCTCAGTTCCTCTAGTGCATAACCACTTTTGAAAGGACCAAAATAAGTGAATAAATAAATAAAATTTGTAAAATGAAATCCCTAATTTTAAAAAAGTATGGCATGTTGCATGCAAAGGTTTCCTTTTGCTGTTACTTAGGCATGTCAAAGGCCAGTTCTCATTTGAGAAAATAGAAAAGACCTCTGATCGAAGAGCAGCTCAGTAACTAAGGGGTAAGGAGCTGTGCAGAGCATATTAGATGACGGAGTACTTGCTTCAGCAGAGGGTTGGTTTAGACTGCCTCACAACTTGCCTGTTTTCTGTTCTAAGCTGAACTCCCAGTGTTAGGGGGCCACAAGGCCTGTACTCCTGTGAAGTCCCAGGATGACTGCACAGACTCAGGCCACTTTCTGTGCTCTTCTCTCTCACTCTTGCTTTGGGACCTAGGGACTTGCTGGTGGCTTTTGTCTTCAATGCAGCACAGACTCTGTCCCTTAGCCTCATCTGTCTGTGGCCTAGAGCAGTTGCAGAGTGGATGCACACTCCTAACCTGCATTTGCCTTTCTGTTCAGAAGCCATGCTTACTGCTAGTAACTATGGGGAAATCTCCAGAATATTTTAAAAGATCACAAACATGGGAAACTTTCAAAAGTTTAACTAACCCTAATTTTGGCTTCTGGTCTATTTGTAGTTGCTCATTCTCTTGCTAAGCCTCTTTCAACTTGTAGCTCTAGTTGATTACATATTTATGTTTATATTTTGTCCTTTGGCGGGGAATGCAAAAAGTTGCATATTTAAGCTAGGCACTTATTCTGTGTAATACACATAGTAAATGAAAAATAATAAAATAGTGCACTTTGAACCTGTAGTTAAGAGGTTAGAAGAGGCAGAGGTTATGTTTGTGTTTAAATGTGTAAGTCTATGGACTTGCCTTTATACATCTTTGCTCTTTTGGCTCAGTCCTGAGTTCTTGTGCCATGTGATAGACGGGTAATAAATGTCTGTGTTGGATGGGTGGATGGATAGACAGATGGATAAATGGATGATGGAGCTGCTCCATTTGCTTGGCTAGTTATTTCAATGAACTATCAGTAGGATAAATTTCAGTTCAGTTCAGAGCTGACTCCTGAAGCCTGGGAGGGTTTTCCTAAGCCTAGGAAGATTTTTTAGACTGGAGGACAAGGATCTAGAAGTGACATCTCCTTGGCTTGCATATGTAATGTGCTAAAAAACTTGGCTAGTTATTAGTCAGAAAGGGTGAAGAGTCTGACTCCATTGTGACACTGCAATGTGCTAGAGTTAACTTCTTTAACTGGAAATGCAGATTTCATTTTTTATTTACCTTCTTGGGGCTGGTATATACTTTGGAAATCTGTGAGGAGAAGAAACTTTCTTTCCCTGCCTCCAAAGAAAAATGCCCCTCTTTGAATTTCTTTTTGCATCTTCTGGACTACATTATTTTATAGTGTGAAGAATGCAGTCATTAGTAAACAGTTATCATCCATATTTTAAAACATCTGCCTTTCAA